ATATAGCATCAGTGCTAGCACAAAGGCTAACAGGCTAAGCTGAGGTTCTTCTTCCAAGAAACATCCTACAGTATTTTTACAGTCTTTATTTTACAGTTAAAATATATGTTTATTAAATAAAGTCTAATGTTACAACTAATCAGGGATCCCTTTAAAGCTGAACAAAAAGAAGAAAAGTTTTCTCACCATCCAGGGCGCTGATGATGAGATGAAGCGCCAGGAGGAGCGATTCTGTCCGACCTCGCTCCGCTTCACCCAAAAGCTCCAACAGGTGGAGAATCTCTTGGATTTTCTGCTGCTGACACCCCGTCCCTCCAGCATCGCTCCACCCAGGCTCCTCATCCTGACGCATCCGGTCCAGCTGACACGGAAAGAAAAAAAAAAGTTTAATAGGAACAAAATAGTTTCACGACACCTCTGCCAAAGTCCCGCCCMCTCGACGTGCCGCTCACAACAATCTGAAGAGTCCTGATGGCGGCGGGGTCCTGAAGCAGCTCGGAGATTTGCTGAAGCAGCGAGGCCCTGGTGGAGGCAGGAAGAGCTGAGAGCACCTGGAAATGCTCCTTTAGCTGTTCTAGCTCTACGGTGTGAAAAGCAGAACAAAAACAGAGGATCAGCTCACTCGCTTCAACGACAAACTGCACACAAAAAGCAACAAAAAAATAAAYGCAACACTGATGAGCTGAACTCAAAGATCTAAGACTTTCTATGTACACAATAACCTTCTTCCTTCAAATGTTGTTCAAAAAATTGTGCAAATCTGTTRGATTATCTCTGCAGAGATTATCTATGTCACCATGCAGGTGTGGCACATCAAGATGCTGATTGGACATCACGCWCCCTGAAAACCTGCAACATCTCTGGCTTTGTGCTGAGAGATAAAACAGCACGTTTCAGAGTGGCCTTTTATCGTGGCCAGCCTAAGGCACACCTGTGCAATAATCATGCTGTCTAATCAGCATCTTGATATGCCACACCTGCCAGGTGGGACAGATTATCTCTGCAGAGGAGAAGTGCCCCCCCTCACACAGATTTACACAAAATGATAAACAATATTTGAAGGAAGAAGGTTGAGTTCAGAGCTATTCAACATCCGGTCCGCCAATTGGTTCATTCTTATCTTCAGCACAAACCCCTGGTTTTCTACTTTAATTACTGTAAGTTCCTTTAGTTCAACATGTTTGTATCCATTAGGACTGAAACGATAACAGAAAATTCACGATTCGGTTCGATACTTTAGTCTCACAGTTCGATATTTTTTCGATACAATAAAGACAAATGTCCATGCCCTTTTTAACTTGTAATTTATTTAAATTAATTATGAACATTAGTTTAACCTCAAAACTCCAGTTTTTAAATTAAATGTTGCTGAAACAAGTTTCTCAGTAGATCTGTGCTCGACAATGCAGCCTAGGTGGAGTAGTCGAACACAGATCTACTGATCCTTCAACACAGAGCATCTTCAGAAGACAAGTTGATAAAATGAATTTAAAAATCTGCGTTTTCCATATATAATGTGTATTGAACCTAAAGCTCTGGGTACATGTATTGTTGCACTCCTAGTATCTACAGAAATGTCAGAATCTTGGCTACAAGCTGGAAAAAACCTTTTCTATGCACACTTAAGACAGTTAAAACTAGCAGTTGAAGATAAAACTATGAACGTGAGAATAAAATTGGTTTAAAAATTTTGAAAAATCAGAGAAGTCAAAATAATGTTTGTGTTAAACAGGAGGCATAATGTGTTAATTTTAGTTTTGATATTGTTTTATTATCACTACTTTTATTATATAGGGTTCTGTATGTTGTATTTATGATTAAATGCAGCAAAATAAACAGTTTCAAAGGTAACAGATCTTTGTAACAATTGGTTTATTTACATAACGACTTTAATTGCTGGATATTTGGCCCTTTAGCTGTTGGCCTGCAGCAACTGTGGCCCCTGGTTGAACAGCCCTGGGGTCGGATTTATAAAACTGGCGTACGCACAATWTGAGCCCAGAAACTTGCGTACGCCACTTTTTATGCCAAGGTTGTGATTTATAAAATCCAAACTTGACGTGAAAATGTGC